TAGGTGGGTTTGTGGCTGCCTGCGCGTAGCATCTGAGTTGCGGGCTGAGCGATTTGTTTGGGACTTTGGGTTGTCGGTGAGTGCAACCGTAGTGTGCTGAAAAAGAGAAGGCAAGTGGTCGGTTGTTTGCATTCTGGGACTGCACGCTGCAATACTGGTATGGATTTGAGCAGACTCTTCTAATGTTAACTGATAAATCGTGATGGCTGGGTGTTCATTCTTGGTGAGGTGGTGTAGACTGTCAGCTGTTACGTGTATTACCCTTGTTGTCAACCCTAACATATCGGAGGGGTGACAGGCCTACGCTACCGCTTGGGAAAAGGAAGGCGCTTAATTCCTGTGTCTTTCAATGGCATCTTGGGCAGGTTGCTTCATTTTTCTGTAGCGTATAGTGGAGAACCATTGCACCTCTGTAGGTATGAAGGTTATCACAAGGATAGCGATAATTGTGAGATGAATGTGCATACAGATGTTAGTAACTTAGCCCTAAGTATAAATATGTGTTTTGTTTTCAATGTTGAATTTATGTTTTTGTTTTATTTATTGTTGTAATGTTCAGCTCTGACTAAATACTGTCAGCTGTACTGCTGATCTGTCAGGAAGCTAATTCTCACAAATTTAATGAGTTCTTATTTGGAATGGAACGTAGGAACTAGGAAAAGAACTTTGTATTCATCCTGGCATTTAGATTTCTTTACTAGCTTTCTGTCCCCACCCCCTCCAACATGCTCTTATATAAGATTTTGATGACTGTTAGATAATTAAGACTTTTGGTTTCATTTTATTTTGTCTGATTTGGAACTTGTTTATGGATATAGCTCTAAACTTGTAACTTTCTAGAATTAATGGATTCTTGGTCTTTTGCTTACATAACTAAGCAAGTGGATTTTCTCTTCTTGCTTTGTGTAGCCTCAGTGTTTACAAAAACTTTGTAACCATAATCCATTTTTTAAAGGCAGTAGTTCTGCTTATTTAAAATTAGCTATTTTATTTAATATTGGAATCGTGGAGAAGGTACTTCTTTGGTGTTATAGATCTTGAGTTTGTGTTATACTCTGGAGTAGTAACATTTTCTGGGTTATTTTAACTGTAAAACTGACCTTTGTGTACTTTGCTTATCTTGAACTTATATTAAAAAAAGTCTTGATTTTTTTTTTTAGCAAGGTGTCACAAGGTTTACCTGAGAAAAAAAAAATTAGGTGTTTTTTTTTTTGCTTTATATGCTGTGACAGTTCTTTTATCTCTGACTGAGAGAAGCTGGGCAGTTTCCTGGTACATAGCCCAAAACAGCATCCAGTCAAAATGTACTTTCTTTGCTTTCCCTCTGCTTAGGCAGTGGGTGTGCTTATATCAGCTAAGTTTGCTGTGGCATTCCCATTGCCAGCCAACCCAGGGACAGGTCCTGTATCAGAATCAATATGATCAGTTTTCATGCTGATGATTTACAGAGTCAAAAAAAAAACAAACCAAAAACCACTCAACCCCCAAAAAACCCCAAAACAAAGACCCAAACCCAAGGAGTTGTTACCAGTGTAGTGTGGTTCTAATGACTTTTGTGTTTGTGGAATGTTATGGTGAAAGGAAACTTGACTCGCCTAGATCTCTTGGAAGCATAAAAGCGCACCTCCCAAACTCAGTTACTGAATGTGCCATGAAGTCAGTTGTTCCATTTTCTCACAGAACAACTTTAAAACACTCGGCTCTCTGCATATTAACTTGACAGGTGACTATGCATTTATTCATGGAATTTAGGTTCTGTAGAGAAAACCCAGCAACAACCACTATCGTTATTCAGGTCTGCCCCAAAGCTCTATCTGCTTACCCTTCCCTCTCTCTCCTTTGCTCCCTCCTCCTTGCCCTCTCCCCCCAACCCAATTAAACTATAACTTAATTATGTAATAAATCCATGCTGGTCTAGCTGAGGCAGGCAATTGGCTTTGGCTTACTTAAACTTTTCTTTTAAATGTGAGCAGTTGCTTTATTTTAGTTGGAGTAAATGTTTCTGAATATTCCTGTCTCTACAAAAAAATAGTCATCTGAGCTTGCAGAACAAATAACTCCCAAATTTTTTGGTGTTGTAGGAGACCAGTAACATAGAAGAGAAGCCAGTGTTACTGCACATGTCTTTGAATTTCACCTGTTGCTGCAACATTCACTACCTGTTTGTATTTGAACTACAGATGGGTTGGTCTGTGGCAAGCTCTTTTTATTTTATTGCCCACACAAATGCATCCCACTTGTCCTAAGGCTTCTTCTAGGAGCACCGATGCAATTGCTCATGTTGGATGTCATAGCGTATTGTAGCTATTCTCTAGATCAGCTGCTCTCCAGACTACCTGCGTTGCACATGCTTTTCACGATCAGTAAAATATCCTCTTGGATTTTCAGTATCAGACTTTATTCAAAGATATGCAGTGGCACAAAATAATGGCTGGATCAAGCAGCCTAAGAATTCTTAGTTCAGTGTAGAGAAAAAGCAAGCAGCAAGGACGCTTTGGTATTCCTCTTGGTTCCAGCAGGTGGAACTAGTTGGCTGCTTGGAATAAGTCTAATGTATTTCATCATTTAATACGGGGTGGAGGGGGAAGCTCCCAGACAGAAGGCTTCAGAGAGTTAGAATTCAGTTAATGATATCTCAGCATTCCTAGGGTAGTCTTAGCATGTAATCTAGTATCCCACAAGTTTGTTTAATATGCAAAAACAGGTTTTGTCTACAGCCATTGTAACTTGACTATAACAAAACTGCTATGGATGATGCTAACATTGAGCTTTTCTTCACGAACATGGTCCTAGAGATGTTAGTCCTAGATGGATGTTTGCTGTCTTGCATGGATACCTTGAGTCATGTTTCTAGGACCTGTTCCTTTCTGTGTTTTGGGGTGGGGTGGATCAGTTTTTTGTTGGTTTTTTTTAACTATTTCTCTGCCTCTTAAGGTAAATAACTTCTAATCAAAAAGAACAAAAGGAGACTGAGCACCTCTGTGGGGCAGAAGGGAATGGAGGCAGAAGGAAAGTCAGCCTGTGGGGAAATCTTGATATTTGTAGATCTTTTCTTGATTTTTTTTTTTTAGAAATGCTGAGAAAGCTTAGGGGATAAGTTGGTATTTTATCTGAACTATGTCTGTCTTGACGAAAGGGGGGTTGATTTCTCTGTAATAAAATTGCAGTTTACTCTGTTTTTAAGTATTTAGTGACAATGCCAAAAATTTTCCTAAGAATTAGTCATTTTAGATACTTAATTTCCTTCATTGCACTTAAATGGTGAATAACAGTAAACAATTAGTCTTAGAACAAGATGTGATAGACTTGGGTTTGTTGTGTTTTCATAACTGGATCTTTACCTACGTAGGGGTTTAGGTCTGCTTTTTGAACTGGTGTTCTTCCTCTGTGTTGGTTTCTTAGCTGGATGTAAGCATTGTCTGCCACATCCCTTTCTTTTGGATTCAAGCAGATCTTTTGTATTCAGAAGCTACAGATTCTTAACTGTTTGGAAAAAGTTGCAGTTCTTTAACAAAACATAATTCAGTACTGTGTGGATCATGCTTGCATAATCACGGTTAGTGTTGCACTTAGGTGTCATTCAGCTGGTATTATGAAATATTTCCCATAGGATCAGTGTGTAGGTATTTAATGTTCATAGCTTGCAGTGTTTCCTGCTTGATTTTTCTCTTCTAATAAAGAATGTTATGTTTGTATGTAAGATGAAACTCTGCTCTTGACAAACAGAATTTTTAAAATTTCCTTGCTGTAGAGACTACCCATTTGATTGGCTTTTCCTTTTCCATTGTTGTCTTGCACTCTGGTCTGCAGCAGTTACTCTGAAGTCTGTTGTAAAGTTCCTGCTGTAAAGTAATATCTGACTTGTTGCAGTTCAAGACTACTAGAGAGCTTGAAGATTTTTGTGGCAGTGTCTTATTGCTTTATCTTTATTTTTCATCTTTCAGCTCTGTGAAAAAGTTACCACTGGAGTTACTACTGACAGAAGTACTGTCTTGGCAAGTGTAATTGCTGCTTGCAGAAGGCTTTTCTCTCAACCTCCCAAAGGTGATTATAACTTTGAATCAGTGAAGTGAAGCAGACTGCACTCCTTGCTGAGGACTGCACTTGTGTGCCATCTAGGTTTATTGTCTGGGGGGGAAGTAAGTTCTTGTACTAACCAGCCGTTAATCTTGAGATGGAACATTGATTTATGGGATTTTTTTTTTTAGGAGCTATTAAAGAATGACTGCAATTTGCTCAACTTCATGCTGTGCAATGCAACTTTCTGTTGAACTAACTTGTCTATCTCCGGTTTAAAGGATAGTTTTACTTTAGCTTATTAAATACATTTGATATTTTCTTGTCAACAGTAGTAGTTGTATTTATGGGAACCTGGTAGAGCTCTTTAACAAAAAGATAAGAACAAAACGATTTTTGCAGTCCATATATTGCTAGCTTCTTTGCTGTTGTATACGTTCAGCTTGTGACTACTGAAGTGTAATGACAGAATTGTAAACTAAAAAACAATTATGACCTCTTTAACTGTTTCTTAATAGGATTTGAAAAATATTTTCCCAATGGGAAGAAAGCTAATGGAACTAAAGGTACAGCTGGAGAAACAAAAGGTACAAAAAGCTGCTTGATTTCAGTTCTTTTTGTGGAATGTGTATTCATTAGTCTAGATTTTAGCATAACATTGTGGGTTTGGGGGGGGGTTTTGTTTATTTTTCAGGGAAGATGTTTCTGTACCAGATTAGTTTAAATGTGCAAATTGATATATTTTTATTAAATGTTATTTTGCTTTCATATCATGTATATCATCTGGAATAACATTTATTTTCTCTTTATGCTTCTGTTGGAATGCTGACCTTAAATTCTTGTTTTACTGTTTCCTTGTTTTACTGTTGACATTAGTCATGCATTCAGAGATTCTCTCTATGTATAGTTTTCAGCTTTTCCTAGAGCAAGCTAAAATACCCATTTTGTTGTATGGAGTAACCAGAATTGTCATTCTGGGTGACGATCCAGAATCAGCTCTTTAGCCAGGACCAACCATGTAGCCTGCTGCTTGAAGGAGGAGTTAGTAGTGGCAGTGCTAGAAGGAGCATTATCTTTACAGGGAGGGGGGTGAATCTGGAAATTATTAGCAGTAACAGCTGCTCTGTTGTATCAGAAATCTATCTAACACATCTTCCAAGGAGGAGAGGCAGCAACCCAGTAAGTCTGTCATAAGAGTGATAACAGGAGCAGCAGTTTTCCTTCCACTAGGCCTTGAATGGTAAAACCTAGTGTCATGGCTAGATGCTCAAACTACCAAGCTCTTGAAAGAGCTAGGGTTGGAAGGAATGTGTGTTAGCATTGTGCTCCATTTTGCCCTCTTGAGTATGTTGACATATGACATTATGCTACGCCATGCAGGCACCTTGTGAGATGGGTGAGTGGAAGAATGATTAAGATGAACTCCTCAGCTGTAGTTGGCTGTTACTGTGTTGTGCGTGTCTCTAGAATATTAAAAAAGATGCCAACCTGTGATATTGGTAAACCCTGAGCTTTAAGAGGACCATAGTATGACTGGAAGGGTGAATTATGAGAGAAGGAGATGTTACTTAGAGCTTGTGGTGTTTAAAAAAAAAAAAAACAAAAACCCACAAACAAACCAACCCACCTGTACCCACCCCGCCAAATCCAACAAAACAACCCACCAATCCCCCCCTCCCATCAAAACAGAATAATCTTGCACATGTCTTTGGTTAGTGCAGTAGAAATAAGTTTCTTGCAGTCTCCATAACAGGTTTCTCCTATATTTGGAACATTTTTCAGTTCTTGGTGCTCAAGTGTCATCAGTTATACAATCAACAGACCTCTCCTCTGATCATAGCTGCATGAGATAGGTGTCTCTTTGCGAGTTAATGGGCTATGTATCTACTGTTTTCTATGGAAAATGCAGTTTCTCACATCTTCTAAGTATTGTAGTATTGCAAACTGGTTCATTTTTTCAGAACAAGTCTTTAATTTGGAAACTAATAAAAAATAGTGTCAGATTGGTATAAGATGTAAAGAAGTATCTTCTGTTATGTTTTATTTTTGTTAGAAGCAAAGCAAGCTAGTGCCCGACAGCCTAGTGGGACTAGCAGTGGAGGAGGTGGCAGTGGTGGAAAAAAAGGTGGCAAGAAAGAAGAAACTAACTGGTGGACCAGATTGCAGAAGGTCTTGACTTTAAAATATCTTTATGGTACTAACTGTCTTTTCCCCATGAAATAACCTTGCATGTTTTTTGCTTTTTAGGGCCATATTCTGATTGGCTGAATCCTCCTTAAGCCTCCTGTGCCTAGTGTTTCATAGTAACTGGCTCTAGGTGGCTCCCTACTCAGTCCCTTTCATAAATTACCATTTTGTATATACCTTCAGAGCCTCTAACTCTGGTTCAGGAACATTAATAGAGTTTTAAGCTACATGAATAGGGTTGCTAGTAGTCAGTATTCTTATAGTGGAGCCTCAGGCCTTAAAGGCTTCATATTTTGTTTCAGAATGTCAATTTATAAAACTTGCTGACCACACAATGCTAGTTGAATGTAGTTTACTATGAGTCGTTCTGACCTTAATGGAATACTTACATAAGTTTCTTTTTAAAATTTATAATTATTGTCATTAGCTGTAGCACAAAGATGATAGCATCTGGCAGTACAAGAAAATAAAGAATATTTTTCTGATTTTACTTAGTGGGCATAATTTTTTTCCTCATTCTTGGGTTTTTCCTGGGTTTGGGGTGTTTTTTTCCTTTTATTTTTGTAGGTCTTGCATGTAGTTCTGGAAGGCAGGGAACATTGTTCTAGAATGGAGAGACAGAAAGGTCATATAACAGATGGCAAAACTTTTTTTTTACATAAGTAGTTCATAGATCAAAACTGTTCAATTACTATTTGTAAAACGTTTAAAAATATTTTTCTACTAATGTTGTAATTCCTCAGAAGTTACGGAAGTGTGTTCATACAACCAAATACAGCTTTGCTTGACATTCTCTGTGGTAATCTTGAGGGCAGGGAACAGAAGCCACAAATAGATTCTAGAACCTGTTTGTTATCTTCTTACTGTATTACAGACTCTAAAACCTTTTTTTCTCTATTTCCTAGGGTGACATTCCATGGGATGTCAGGGAGTTTCGGATGTACGTAGTGGGAAGTTCTTTTTTCTGGACAATGGTTGTATATTACTTCTTCTTCAGGGTCCCTGGGAGAGAAATCACCTGGAAAGACTTTGTCAATAGCTACCTTTCTAAAGGAATGGTGAGTACTGAGAGGAATCAAAATGGAAAATCAGTGTGCTGAAGATGCTCGTTTCTGCCTCCCCGCTTATGCTTGTATCCATGTATCTGTGGAGTGAGAACTGGCTCAAGAGTAACTTTTGATGGAGAAGGGGATCAGCTTTCATCTTAATCAGTTCCTTGATCTGATGTTCTGGATGGCTGTGTGAAGATTTGCATTGGCTCAAGAGAGGAGAGGGAATGGGCAGCTCAGGACAAACCTTTTTTTTGTTGGATAGCTCGTGTTGATGCTAGTTTGCAGTGCAACCACAGTCTCTCAGCATATAGTCTTATAGTACAGGTAAGCTAACTTAATGGCTTATGCAGACACACAAGCTGCCCTCAGAAGAAATTTACTTCTAACTTTAAACATTTCCATGAGCCCACCCCCCTGAAAAAAAGTGTCCTGCTTGTTTCATGCCTTAAATCAGTTCCTCAGGGAATCCAAGGAGCAGCAGTGCAAACAGAAAGGTGGGGGTGGGGAATCAAAGAATCTCTTCCAGGGACAGTAAGTTGGCATAACTGTGTTGTAAAATAGCCTCCTTTTATTTGTTTTCTCCTCTCTTATTTCTTCTTTCCTTCCTACCGGGAGCCACTACTGGAGCAATCAATTTTATCATCGGTGTCCTATCTCTCTGTAGAACTTGGCAGCTTTCCACACTTGGAGTAATAGGTTGGTAATGCCCTGAAGTTCAGGAGATCGTGTGTCTTACATAGGCCTTTTCCACTTCAGGAGCCACTAGTTCTTGGCTCTGTTACCTCCCTGTTTGTAGCTTTGCCTGCCAGTTAGGAAAACATTGGCTTGGTTCCTCCTCTAGGTTTCAGACCTGGGATTTAGTGTTAACAGCATGCTTCCTACCCCTCCATCACTTTGGTCAAGTGCTAACCAGGTTGTTTCCCACCTTTCTTTGTCTTACTGATCTATGCAGAGTGGCTCTGTATGTGTCTCCCCTTCTGCATAGACTGTGTCTTACAGTCCTGTTCTTAATTGAGAATTATGTGTACATCTTGTGAAAAAACCTTACTAATTATATCTGTTGGGAAGCAGTAAGACACTAAAAAGATTAGTTTAGCTGTTACAGTGAACGAAGCCTGAACCCTTATTGCAGAAAAGCATTATGAAAGTGGGTTATTGCACAAAACCAAGTCTCTTGGGCCTTTGTAAGATGTAGTCTGGATATTCAGATAAGCTAAATACGTAGCTATCAAATGCTGTTGGTTGCCATAGCAGTGGCCAGTTAATAGGGAGAAGACATCGGCCCTACAAGTGTTATGCACTTTTCAAAACCAATATGTTCAGGTAGTTTTACATGAAGTCGAGCTAGATCTAGAGTGGCTTCTTAGCTCATGTTTTGCTTCAGTTCTGCCAGAAATGGCCACATGTAGTGAATTCAGGGAAACAACCTTATTGGCCTGTGTGCAGTTCAGGCCCAACTTGTAGAACCATTGCTAGTTTAAAATTCTTTAAAGATGCTGAAACCAGTTACTTTATGGAAAGAGGAAGAAAAAATGGAAAGAAACTTTAGTTGCCTTCTGAAGAGACCCTGTCAAATTCAAGACAGTAACCATTTGAGACTTTTTCTATCAAAAAAAAAAAAAAAAGCCTAATAGTTTATATCTGTGACCCTGTAGCTCAGTTCTTGATTTTTAGTTTATAGGGTATCTGTTACCTCAACTACATTCTTCTTTATCTAGTTGATGTTATTGTGTTTAATATGGTAGCACAGGAAGCCTTTTATATTAGGGAAAACAATTGTAAGGAAAGTTTTCCCTCATTCTGTTTGGTTTGTATTGGAAGCTGCTACAAGAGTTTGGAGTTGTGTGGTCTATTGCTTTTGGTGTTTGACCACTGAAATAGTTAAGTATTGTGTAACTATTTCACTGTACCTGTGATTTGAGCTGAGAAATGCATTGGGTTTCTTCCTTGAAAAAGGGTATGAGGTCATCCTTTCAATCTAAGTTTTAATGTGCCAATATTCCTTGCTTACTGATTATGTATAGGATTCTTCACGCCATTTGTAATAGCAAGCTGTGTATTGTGGAACCATCCTGATCTACAACATGAATTTTATTCTCCTTACTGGAAAACAGAACAGGTTCATATTTGGTCTATGTAGCTCTCGGCTGTGATGGAAGTGCAGTGACTGTACATTGATAACACATCACAAGTTTTGCTCTTTCCTCCTACAGGTGGACAGACTTGAAGTGGTGAACAAGCGCTTTGTTAGAGTGATCTTTGTTTCAGGAAAGTCTCCTCATGAATGGGTAAATGCTTTTAATACATATACATGAGACATTAGAAACAGCAAAGCATCTTTTTAGGTGAAGTTTGATGCCAAAAACTTGGTCTGGAGCATTAATAATCTCTTAATCTAAAACATGTTTTCTGCCTGATTGCTACATTCTTACATTGTTACATTCTGCCTCATTGTTACATTGTCCTACATGTGTGGAAAGCCTACATGTGGCTGGAAAGCTGCCTGGCTGAAAAGGACCTGGGGGTGTTGGTCGACAGCCAGCTGAACATGAGCCAGCAGTGTGCCCAGGTGGCCAAGAAGGCCAACAGCATCCTGGCTTGTATCAGGAATGCTGTGGCCAGCAGGAGCAGGGAGGTGATTGTTCCCCTGTACTCGGCACTGGTGAGGCTGCACCTGGAATACTGTGTCCAGTTTTGGGCCCCTCAGTACAAGAAGGACATTGAGGTGCTGGAGCGTGTCCAGAGAAGGGCAACAAGGCTGGTGAAGGGTCTGGAGCACAGGCCTTATGAGGAGCAGCTGAGGGAACTGGGGTTGTTTAGCCTGGAGAAGAGGAGGCTGAGGGGAGACCTTATCGCTCTCTACAACTCCCTGAAAGGAGGTTGTAGTGAGGTGGGTGTTGGTCTCTTCTCCCATGTAGTTAGTGATAGGACAAGAGGAAATGGGCTCAAGCTGTGCCAGGGGAGGTTTAGATTGGATATTAGGAAAAAATTCCTTTACGGAAAGGGTAGTCAAGCATTGGAACAGACTGCCCAGAGAGGTGGTGGAGTCCCCATCCCTGGAAGTGTTCAAAAAATGGGTAGACATGGCACTTTGGGACATGGTTTAGTCTAGTCTACCCTTGATTGGTTTAGTGTAGACTTGGTAATGTTAGGTTAATGGTTGGACTGGATGATCTTAAAGGTCTTTTCCAACCTAAACAATTCTGTGATTCTGTACATTGTATGTTTTTCACTTTACTGTATCAATTATTTTGCCACAGATAACTTAAAGCTATGGCAAGTAGTTCCTTTCCAGCACCATGCTCTTAATACAAATATACAAACAGGAAGAGTGAGAAATTGATAAAGGTTCTGTATTTCTAACTGCTGTTTTCCATTTGCTCAAGAAATCCCCAGACTTAACCATACGTACTTTTGGATCTCTTTTCTGTTCCAGACTGCTTTTAGCCAGTTATTTGAAAAACAAGAGAGAAGCTTTGTCAGGTTACTTCTTCCTGGGTGGTAGAGTTTGTTTTAACTGCCTTTCCGAAACAAGGTCTGCAAGTCCCTCTGGGGTAAAGTGAAATCTGCAGCAATTACTTCATCAGTGGGTTTCAGTGTGACTTATTTATACTCTTTAGCCCACATACCACCAGTTGCCTTAGTTTCTCAATCAATTAATACTTAGGACTACTCTTTTTTTTTCTTTTTCAATATTAGTGTAAGTAGGGGCAAGTCAGGCAGGTCATGGTGCAAAAAGGGAGATTGCCTTGAAAAACCGAATCTCGACATTGTTTGAAAATCATGTCTGGAATATTTTTTCTGGTGTATGATGTAAGTTCATGCTGTCTTTTGTGAAGACAGCTAACTTTAAAGCTAGTATGAACTCCAAAAGTAGAGAATTGCTTTTCTTAACCAGAAAAGCTGAGAGCTTCAGGTGAAACAGTTGTGTGGCTGCTTTGTTTGACGGTTCAGTGCTCTGTATTATTCTGACTGCATAGCTCCCTCCTAAAGATCTGTTTACCTACTCTCCTTCCATTTGTTCCTGGAGAAAATGCCAGGATTTCAGTCTATTTAAAGCGTTCCAAAACTATTGGGTGTATGACTTCTGTAGAAGCAATGACAGACACAGTATATTCAGGTTGGTAGGCCTTAGATTTATTAGGTGCATCAGTTGCACACTTTACAAGACAACTTAAAACTCGATTTTGGTCTGAATCTTTTCTGAGAATTGCTTGTGTATGTGTTAGAAGAAGTTGGCTTGTAATGAGGCTGAAATAAGATAGAGCACTTTGTGGTGATCTCTGCTTTTTTTTATAGCAGTACGTCTGGTTTAATATTGGTAGCGTGGACACTTTTGAACGGAATCTTGAAACTGTGCAGCAAGATCTGGGAATAGAAGTGGAGAACAGATTGCCTGTAGTCTACTCAACAGAGAGCGATGGGTAAGAAGTTGCTTTAAAAAAAAGTTTCTTGATAAAAATGGTTGTCTTTACAGTAGAAAAGTAGAGTTGCAAGACATGCACCTTATGCTTCACTAGGTGGCAGTGTTATCAGAATAACAATTATCTTGGTTTTATTTTTGAACACTAACTGTAAGAGGAGCTGTTCAGTACTTTGTCTATGTAGAAATCCATATCCTCTTACACTAAATATAGCTTCTTATTACATAAATGTTTGTGTTCACAATTGGTCCTTCCTTCATTTAAGCCCTTCCTCCAAGTGACTTGGACTAGAGCAGGAGTCAGCCATGCGCAGCTGTAAAGCTCCAGAGATGGCACTCATGCAGATTTTTGGATGGACAAAATATGGCATAGAACTACAGCATATTGACTGAGATATAACAGGCACCAACTTCTGCCTGTGAATTCAGCAGAAGTCAAATTCTGTGGCCTTGCAAAAAGGCAGGAAATTGGTGATTAAGTGAATCACACTATCCTGCCTGTTAGCAGGAGCTGGAGGACGCATCATGGTTTTAATCTCTAAATTGGTTAAGAAAAATAGTACTGACCTTGGATTTATGGCATTGTTGCTTCCCTAGTAGGGAATAATGGCTCCAATACTAGATGTGTATTAGTCTTACGTAGCTGAGCTTTATTGACCTGGGCTTTAGAAGAGACTCTCTGGTTTTCTGAATGGCTTAGAAGACAGATGTAATCTTTTATCACAAGAACTTATTTCTTTTTTATCCAAGTCAACAGTTTGAAAATGACTCCTGCTGGGGTCCATGAAATGGGTTTTGTACCATCAGGAAATTCAGCTTTGGGTGTAGTAGCTCATATTACTAATGAAAAAGGCTCATTTGCTGCCTCTTGTGTTTTCGTTCTTGATACTGTGGTGTGTGTTTCAGTTTTGGGGGATGGAGGGGAAAGTTTTGTTTATTTCCATAATGTGTTTTACCAAGCTGCTGCTGCCTATTTGTCTTGGTGGCAACAGGAGAAATGGTAGCCTTAACTCTGGGCCATCTTGCGACTTCAAATAGAGGTTTTCTCTTCCCCATTCTTCTACAAACTGTCTCTGCCTCATTTCTCTGTTTCTGTCTAATGGGGCACGCTCTTAAGGACGGTCCATAAATAAACCTGTTGAGTTCTTATTTAAACAAATCTGGAAAATAATGAGCGGACCAGCCAAAGAGGCTGCTTGTGCAAAGGTGCTGCTTGTCAGCTTGAGGCTTCTCACAACAGACTGGGAAAAGTTAAGTCAGTTTCTATGTAGTCTTCAACATTGCACAAATCTCTTACTTGTTGAACCCCTCTTTCTGACCCACAGTCTTTTGGGCCCTTTCCTCCTCAGTGTCTGTTCTTCACCGAGTACATTCCCTGTAACTTCTTGCTCTGCCCCAGAAATGCCACAGGAAACAGGAGAGCGCAGCAGCTATGCGATCAGAGTGTTGCTGTTCCCTGCCAGATCAGAATCTGCTGAATACCATAGGACAGGGAAAATCCTTCTTTTCCTCTTCATCTCAGAAACGTGGGATATCAGTAAAGCCTGGAAATCATGTGCTCATGTAGGGTAGTGCTTCTTTTCAGCATTTTAGTTTTGCTGAGTGTTGACAGAACCTCTTGTGAGCTGTTCCTTGAAGGTCTTGTCACAGAAAAATCTGTGCAGTGCTCAGATACTGTGATAGAGGACTGTGTTAATATTAGGATTTTTGGCCTGTACAGAGCTATGTTAGGAAGCTGGAGGACAGACAGCGAAAGGTAATGGGCAATGAGTAATCAAAAAACAAAAAAAAAATACCCCAACGAATCAAACCAAAACCTATAGCCATCGTGAAGGGAAATAGAGACATTGAAAAAAGAAGAAAATGGAGAAAAACCTAAGGGAATAAGAGTGAGATGGTATTTTAGAGAGAAATTTCTGTCTGAAGTTGTAGCACACACTGATTATATGCTACCTAATACAACTTATTTTGACAATATAACCATTTGCATAAACTAGTCCTGTGAATTTACCTTTGAAGGGCACAGAAAATGAGCTACTACTGTTTAGCAGGCAATGCAGTTTTCCTCTGTAAAACTCATCGATCTCACTTGATAATGTGTTTGGTTTAAAAACAAACAAACAAAATAACAAAACAAACCCCCAGACTGTCACTTGTTAAACATCAAGTGTAGAAGTGTTACCCTCTAAGATTATTAATTTACATTTTCCCAGGATTGTGAGGGAAGGAGGATGGGCAATGAAAAATCAATTCCAACTCTTCCTTTAATTATAGCTACAAGAGACTTTTTGGCCTGTTTGACTTCTGTAATTCAGAATCTTTTTTGTGTTCTCAAATTTATTTTGGTTGTTTCTCAATCTGAACAACTTGCAAAAATGTAAACATTACAAGTTAACAGAGTATTTGTCCTGCACTTATTCAGGGTTGCCTATGATGGAACCAACACTTTGTACATACTATATGCAGTAATGGATTTTTGTAATATATGTGGTTTTCTGCTTTGTTTGTTTTTTCTCCACAGATCGTTTCTCCTGAGTTTGCTGCCTACAATCCTGATTATTGGTTCTTTGCTGTACACATTAAGAAGAGGTCCTGCAGGCTTGGGTCGAGCAGGGCGCGGAATGGGTGGACTCTTCAGTGTGGGTGAAACCACAGCCAAAGTACTGAAGGATGAAATCGATGTTAAATTCAAAGATGTAGCTGGCTGTGAGGAGGCCAAATTAGAGATAATGGAGTTTGTTAACTTTCTGAAAAATCCCAAACAATATGAGGATCTGGGAGCAAAAATTCCAAAGGTAAGGAAATGATGACTTAGCAGATAAAGACTTTATTCTTTTGGTAGTCCTCGGTATTCTAAACTGGACTAGGAACATTTATGTATGCAATGCTTTCCAGCTTCTTTCTTTCTTACAGTCAGGAAAAAAAATAAATGGGCATTAAGTGCCAACAGTATAACTGTGGTGCCAGAAGATTTGCCTCTTGAATACTTCATCTGTTCACATGGGTCAGAAATGATACATAGTATGCATGTGTACCATTATTGTATATAACTGTTACAGAATTGTTGTTTGGCTATGTTGTTATGGGAGCCCATCTGATGACATACCTTTTATTTTTTTAATGTCAGTCAAAGAAAACACTGTTCCTGTAAATCTGAGACAGCATGGCAATGTTGTAGCTAAGTTTTTTTTTTTTCCTTTTGATGGTTTAAATTAGATGAATCATCTGTTTGTTTCCTTGCACAATTTTGACTGTGGTGGAAGAAGAGCCAGTGGACTCAACATCACAACATATACAGATCTTTTAAGTAAGATATTTCATAGGCTTATATTATGTTTTCTTCATGAGGAAAATATACCTGTTTCTCTTGCAGGGGGCAATTCTGACAGGTCCTCCAGGTACTGGGAAAACACTTCTGGCTAAAGCTACAGCTGGAGAAGCTAATGTACCATTTATCACAGTCAATGGCTCAGAGTTCTTAGAGATGTTCGTTGGTGTGGGCCCAGCTCGAGTAAGTCTTTGGCCTTGCTCTTTTGTTTCAGTATTGGTTGTTGAAAGGACACTGTCAAGTTTGGGAGGCAAACAGTTTGATTATAGCTGAAGTTCTTTGATCTATGCAGATTACTTACAGGTGATGCCAGATGCTTGTCTAAACACAAGAATCATAGATGTACCTTTCATAAAAGGAAGTAATGCAGGTCAGTATCTGGTTGCAGGACATCAGGACCTTAAGGGTTTACTGCTTTGCAGGACCTTAAGAAAACAGAACCGAACTCTCCAAGCTCTGCTCTGAAATAAATTTATTAGCTGAGTCAGAAATATGTAGCTCATTTGACTACTGCTGTGGGAATGTCTTGTCCTGCTCTAAATCGTTATTTCTTTGAAGAACTTTATTCTGTTTGTGGTGTCAAACTCTAGATATCAATAGTTGTCTGGGACACACAAATGAGCTTCTGGTTGAAATAGGAGTCTGATGGTCGTGGAGCTAATGGTTGATTTCTGGAGATCAGGTGATTTAAATAAGCAAATATATCTGTCTGACATTTTTTGTGCTCTTTTGCCTTAACTCTTTTAAAATAACTCATTAAAAACATACTAAGTGGAGGGAGCTAGCTCTGCTCCAGTACATCCATTTTTCTTTAACTTTTTTTACTACAACTAGGTTTAAAACTGAATGTTTGAAATCTATCTTCTCCTGTCTAGGAAGGAAGGACACTTAAATCTGCTGAAAAATATTCTATAAACAAGTTACAGATAATATTTTACAAATGAGGCGGGTAACAAAAAAAATAAGGTTCCTCATAATGTCCAAAACTTATACTCCATTTCCAACAGCTCATACCTTTGCCAAACTCCAACCATCTTGTCTTAAGCCTTAAAAAACATACTGCAAGGTGACACACTCTTGGAAAACTAAGATTTATTTGCTGCAAATCCTGTGAACAGACTTAAGGAAGTCTACCATGGTTTTTACTCATGTTTAACTGCTAGCATGGAATGGAAATGCTTTAGGTTTTGAATTGATTTTGAAATTTGACAGGAAATGGCTCTTACCAAACGTATGCAGTTTTATGTCCTGGGAAAATTCATTTTGACTGAGTTCTGTAAAGCCCTGAAAAACTGCAGGTTTTGCATGTCTAGATGTGTTAGAGGATAGCAGATAAACTTTCCAAGATTTGGTCCTTAGTTTGTCACAGTTGTGCATGCATATGCCTCTTGCAAGCTTAGGTCTCTTTCAATAGTCTTTTGCTGGACTTCTTCCAGTAATATAGGTGGGAAAAGATCAGTGAAGCCAGGCAATTTTGGGTCTTTTGAAAACAGAAAAGGCAAGAGGTGTGAGGGACTCACACAGGTAGGCACAGAGCTTGGAACTGAAGGAGCTGTTCAGAAAGTTAAATGCAGAAGCTAGTTGGGAGTCTAGGCTTCAATGAGGATGCAGAGAGACTGGAAGTATGTAAGGAAATTGGCAAAAGGAGCTGCTATGGAGGGGGGAGGGTATAGGCAGAGAGTGGGGAAATAGATGCAGAAGGGGGTAACAAGGTAAAAAACATGGGTGGTGACTGAAAAAAGTGACTCTTTGAAAGCCAGAGGGTATGGAGATAGTGATCATGTATGTAAGATGAGTGGGACTTGAAAAAGGGAGCATGCAGTGTAGAAGGGACTTTACTGAGAAACAGTAAGAAAAGAAACTGGTCCATATCCTCTGGGAAAGTATTAGATATCTTGAAATAATAATGGTACTCAGAAGCTATGTTGTCATTAGTCGTCAATACATACCTGAAATGCTCCAAAGCAGAGCGACTTAACTTTTCTCTGCTGGTCTATGCAGATGATTATCAGCTCTTACTACTGAGTGAAATCTGTTGACATAACAGTTACTGCTTTGGCTATGAATTGAGGTGTCAACACAGTTGGTGATTTCTGATGCCTGTAGAAAACAACATGAGAGTGTGTTTCATTTCCTATGAATTTAGTAAATAAGACGGTTGTCAGTGATGCTAAATTGATTACTTGTAAATTGGGATATGCTAGAATTAAAATTGCTTGTACAGTCTTGCTTCCTTTGGTGGTTTTTTAGTATATATGCATTATGGTAACTTTTAGTTGCATTCCTTCTGAAAAATAGTTGTATATTTCTGGATCTCTGTCTTTCTGATCAAAATAGAGTTCACTGAGCACATGACACTTTCCTTGTTTGTCATGGTCCTTCATGCTTTGTTCGTTGTACTTTTTTCAAATTCTGTTTACAAATCAGAGTGACTTCCTGTAGTAGAGCGTACTGTCCAAAATTCGCATCTCTTAGCATCATCTGTCCATTTTTTGTCATCAGAGAAGCCTTCTCTAATTGCATCTCTAACAAAGTTGCATCTCTACAAGGTAGTAAAGCTCTGAGCTGCATATAATTCTCACTCGGGTCAAAATTCTTCCATAATTTTCATTTCCTGTTTGTTCCAGTTAGATTCCTCATGTGTAGCTGTAACTCACTGAACTGGTTTTAATAAGGTCCTTCTGATAGTATTTGCCAGCACAGTAACATTGTAATGTTGCATCTTAGAGCCAATCACATTGTGCTGTAACTACTACAGTAGAATTTGATAAGTAGTATCTTCTTTAAAATCTAAAAGTCCAACAAAATTTTCAGCTATTTGCTCAATGTCTTGGCCATTTTTTCCAGACTTCTAGAAGTTAATTTAACTTCTGAACAAATATTTGGAGATGAATTCAGTTTTCCTAGCCCATGTAATGGAGAGACAGGATGGCTAAGAGTCAATATTTATAACAGCATATTGTTAGAGTACCATGGTAAGCACTTGTAAGTAAGCCTTAAGTTCACTGTAGGAGTTACATCACTCTGTTCTAACTGCAGAAAAATTAAAAAGATTTTATTTCCTTTGTATGAAGAATGACAGTGCGATAGCATGCCCATTCACATTCCAGTTCTGCTTGTAATACTGTGCATTAAAGAAGAGCTTAAAAGAGAAATCTTGTGTTAAACCTCTGAAGTTTGGAGGCTTTGAGAGCTGAAGTTGAAGATATATTTCAGTGATTCAGGAAAAGTGGTTATTTCTTCAGGCTTTTAAGTTGTTTAATGTTCTTAATTTATGGATTGAGAAAGGATTTGTCAGCCAGTGGGCCTCCACATTAGTGATTCTTGCTGAGGAGCAGCTACAGTGTAACTTATCATTGCCTTGAGAGCTGGCTCTAGGCTTCGGAACACTTACTAACAACCATACTCAATTAGAGCGATACTGTTACTGATGTACCTCTTCCCCCCTATGCACCCCCTGACTCTGAACAGATTACAAACCAATCTGATACTACTCTGTTCTCCAATTAAGGTTAGAGACTTATTTGCTCTTGCTCGTAAAAATGCCCCGTGCATTCTCTTCATTGATGAAATAGATGCAGTAGGAAGGAAGAGAGGAAGGGGCAACTTTGGAGGACAAAGTGAACAAGAGAACACACTCAATCAGCTTCTAGTAGAAATGGATGGTAAGTATTTAACATCTAATTACATTATAATAACAAGGATAAGGGAAAGAACTAATATGCTTGTTCAGACCTGTTAACTAAGACTTGGGTTCTAGCTTAACTATAAACTGAGTGTGTTTCCTTGCTTCCTAAAATGAAGAATGGTGACTCATTTTGCTGCAGCCTGATGCTTTGATGGTGCTTTTTTCTGAACGAATTTTAGCATTCTGCATCTGATAACTCTTTGTCATAGTTGAATAGGCAAAAAAAAAAATTCTTTGCGTGAGACCAGTCTGTCTGGAAAAAAAAAAATGCAGCTAGCCATGCTGGTTCTGCAATTTCCTGAGCAGTTAATCTATTATTGCCTTTTGAAGATAAAGCAGGATTTGATGTAGTACTTCACAAAGCAGAGCCTAAGGCCATTTTTTTGCTTGTTATGAAAAGCTGGACAATGCTCTAATAAATGGAAGTATTTTCAGCTTTAAGATCATTTGTTGAAACTGTCAGTTCTTATGCGGCCCTGTAAAGCGGACAGTCTTTTTATTTCTATTCTTTTTTCATGAAAATTTTATATTTACACATATTTTCTCTTTATTACATTTCTTCAACAGGATTTAATACAACCACAAATGTAGTCATTTTGGCAGGTACTAACAGGCCAGATATTTTAGACCCTGCTCTGATGAGACCAGGACGCTTTGACAGGCAGATTTACATTGGTAAGTTTTATCTGCATCACTGTATGCTTCTGTGTTTGTAGAATACCACTGAAATCACTGCAGCTATTTACATATGTAACTTCCTTGCACACATTCAGTTAGAATATATATATATATGAGAAAAGTAAAAGCATACTTCTTTCATCTTAAAGGACCCCCAGATATAAAAGGAAGAGCATCTATTTTCAAAGTTCACCTTAGACCTCTGAAATTAGACACCATCTTAAATAAAGATAACCTAGCAAGAAAACTCGCATCACTAACACCTGGTTTTTCTGGTAAGTGACTCGTAATGCCGCTATTCTTCTCCATTTACTATATAAGCTGTAGATATGTTATTTCCCTGCTACTTCTGGTTTTCTTGCACCTGATCTTCTGGATGGCACTCTTTATTTTATTGTATTTAATGCTACAGCATGACATTCTCGTTGCCTGTTTGAGCAAGTAGGGGATTTCTGAGGGTCTTAAGTTTTGTCTGCCTCAATCAGGGTGACATACCAAATGGCAGCTTCTTCTGTCTTCAGCAAAAGCAATCCAGAGATTGCTTGTTGCTATCACTCGTGTGTGTATTCTTCCTTTTAATACGTTTGTTGGATTCTTTGAACACTGCTAGAGAAGACCTGGGTTTTGTGGAGTTTGTGTGCGTATTCTTTAGGGGGATTTCTATTTCTGGATGTAAAAATTTCACCCTGGAAAATATACTGTAACCTGGTGTTGAATTAGTAATGGATGTGAGAACCTTCATTACTGGCTTGTAATTTAATCCATTTAAAATCTGTGGTGACCAGTAGTTGAATTCTTCACTGTTTTCGTGGTCTATGTAAAGCTGGTTTTCTGAGGTCTGAGTGTGAATATTTCTGGCAACTACAGTGATGATGTTTAAACTAAGCTATCTCAATAGCATTACTGCAAATAATGTTAACAAGAAGCGGATGGCTTGAAACCAGTAATGTGAAAGGATATCTTCTAGAGATACAGCAAGGTCTGAGCTATACTGGATCCATATGTAGGAAATCCATTCTGCTAAATATATACTAGTTTAAATATAGTCTGTAGCAGACAGAAAACTTAAGGAAGGTAGGATATATCAAACAAGTACTTCACTGGTAATAAGCTCTATTTGGTAGCTGTCTACCTAAGAGAAAAACCTGAATGCCTATAACCATAGTATGTGTATTTATCTCTTAAAGAATTATGCTATATGTAATGAATTATTTCAGAGAGCATTACCTTTAATTTTGAAGCTTTATGCAAATCTATGGAAAACTAATTCTAGATAAGGTTATCTTTATGCTAGACTGAGAGAAAATTGTTGAAAATGATGAGTAATTCATGCCTTCTCTGCTTTTAGGTGCTGATATTGCTAACGTTTGTAATGAAGCTGCTTTAATTGCCGCAAGGCATCTGTCAGATGCTATAAACCAAAAGCATTTTGAGCAAGCGATTGAAAGAGTTATTGGAGGTAGGTGAATCGCATCAATCATTTCTCAAATTGTAATATGACAGGCAACTTTCTTATATACATATATGAAGCCATGCTTGAATCTTTCTCCTGTTCTTCAAAGTTGTGTTTTTTTCCTGTCCTAAACACACCTGAGAGAGAGAAAACAAGTATCCTGTCTATATTGCTGACTTCTGTAATGGAGAAAGGGGTAGGGAGAGAAATTTCATCAGGATGCTTTTCTAATTTCTTCAAAATGGCAAGAGGAATAGCTTTGGATTTAGCAATGCTTGTAACTGCTGTTAGCCTGGAATAGTCTAAAAAACTATTTTATTTTTTAAGTCCAAATGTTTTATTTAAATGTTTGAATATTCTTAAGAACTTATACTTTGAAACTAGAAAATCTAATCAAGGACAAGGTTACAGTAAAACCTAAAGATACAAATTTCTAAAACTTGGAAGTTTTTGGGTTTTGTGTTTTGTTTGGGTTTTTTTTTAACCTTTTCAATAGACTGTATACATGGCATCTAAGTATTGCTCACTATCTTTCTAAATGAGATAAGGGATTTCAGTGGAGAAAGGTATGTCTGAAACTATTAATCAAATTTATTTTCTAAAGGTTTGGAAAAGAAAACTCAAGTACTGCAACCAGAGGAGAAAAAGACAGTAGCGTATCATGAGGCAGGGCATGCAGTTGCAGGATGGTTTTTGGAACATGCTGACCCACTCTTAAAGGTAAAGGAAACTGTAACCTGAAGTAGTACTTCAGTAGTAGCAGGTACAGCATCTTCTTTTCTTCACACGCCCCACTCCCTCTCCTGCAATGTTGGGAGGGTATTAAAATACGTTATCTTGCAAAAGATAGTGGAAGTGTGTAAATTTTAGAGTATGCTGCTTGTAGCTCTCTTAACTGTTTGTGACTTAGGGCTGTTACAGGGTTTGTACTACAAATGTCCTTGGAAAGTGAAAGGGACCTGACCTTCCCATGAGTCTGCCTGCCTTGATAGCTGCTTTTTCTCTGAGGCTTTTAGCACACATGAGTGGTTTAAGTAAATCTTACCAGGTTATGCACGTAGATGCCTCTTCAGGAATATAAGTATAAAAATTATCATCTAGAGGCTGATTTTAGTTTTAATTTGATTTTTGGATTCACAGCTTGACAAGTCAAAGATAAAGGAAGAAGCACCCCAATCTCCCAAATTTCCTTTAACATTCATAGTTTTGCCTGGCTGTGGTGTTAATCTCATCTGACTTTCAAGCTTAAAATTCGTCTTGTACAATTTACTGCTGGAATGAAGGACATCAGTAAACACAAACTCCAACTATTCAGAATACTAAAGATGCAGAAGTGCTATGTCTGTGACAGAATACTTAAAGCCCAATACGTAACTCTAAAAGAATTGTGGATTTTCATTAAAAGATTTAAAAAATATGATAACAGTCTTTGGAAGAGATATGACAGTGGTCTTACCTTTCTATTCCAGATATTCTAGTAGTTATCCCACTTTAGAGCTAGCCAGAACTTTTAGGGATAAATCACAATGAGGGCAAAACTGTAAATGGAAATAATGTCTGAATTAGTCTTCAAGGGCGAGTATGGTGTAGGTTGTGGAATTAAAAATTAAGTCAAACCGAAGAATGCTTTATGGTTTTTAACACTATTTAGATCTAGCATTCTGTTAATTTTGATTGTAGGTATCTATTATCCCACGTGGTAAAGGACTGGGCTATGCTCAGTATTTACCCAAAGAACAGTATCTTTATACCAAAGAGCAGCTACTTGACAGAATGTGCATGACTCTGGGAGGGCGTGTATCTGAGCAAATCTTCTTTGGAAGAATTACTACTGGTGCCCAAGATGACTTGAAGAAGGTGACCCAGAGTGCATATGCTCAGGTATGTGCTTAAGTGAGACTTTTTTTCCTTACAGTTTTCTTTATCTACTACCTAACACTAGTATTTTGAAAGGATGCAATTTGATCAGGTATGTCCCTCAAAAGCCTAGTTTAAAAAAATACATGAATAAACATTATGCTGTTGTTGTACAGAGATGCTGCTGAGTCAAGTATCTTATTATAGTCTTACAACAGGAGTTCATGCATTAGGCTTTGATTACTATCCTACATCTGCCTGCAGGAACACATATGCCACAGTTGGATTCAAATACATGTGGAAATTGTATACTTTTAAAATGGAATTTCGTGCACCAGTTTGATCATCTGATCCTACTTTTACAGTTGCCCAGTTTGAAGACCCAGTTTGGATTCACATGTGTAACTAAATCCAGAAAACCTTGTATTTAAGCACTATTTGCTGTCAGTTAAGGCTGCTGAAATTAAGACATTAGTTTGTGTTAGTATCATATTAACTAGCATAGATGAGTAATTTGAAATCTTATCAATGTAATGACTCACCTAAGTGTAGCCATGTGCTACACACGGGTGCTTTATTCCATTTCCTGCATCAACACAAAAGATGTCATTTTATAAGACAGTCACAAGGTGAACAAGAGAGACATTTTAGAGTACAGTTCTCTTCCCCTGAACACTACTTACGTGCCCCGCCCAAACCACACCTACTTCCTAGTCTCTGGTGTGCTTCTTGTTGCCTCAGTTGTGGAAGTAAATGTGTAATGAAATCCTGTTAATGTTATTTTTATGGGATCTTCTGTGACTCTTGTTCCATTTTAAATTAAAAACTGTTTAAGTAAAATAGACTTTTGTTTATGTTAACTAGACATTCTGTCTCCACAGAGAACTGGGGGCTTAAATAAAAGTATTGAACTCTTCTTAAGGAAGCAGGTTTAAGATGCTATGTTCTAATGCTGAGATTTCTTTGAATATTCTTTGTCATATCTATATTCATCTTGCAAGGCCAAGCAGAGAAGTGCCACTTTAATAACTATCAAGTTGATAGTGGCCATGGAGTGAATACATAAACAGCAGTCTGAACTTACTTCTGCTTCTGCTGGAGTAAAGTGTGACTTAAGACATTCATATTTGGCAACTAGAAGGGGAGTCAATATTCAGTAATGAGTCAAGCGAGATAACAATCCTTTTCACCTTCGTAGGAGAGTGTCTTGGGATGAAGTATAGCATATGATTTTTGCATATGATAGGACAAAATCTTCAAGACCCTCTACTTTAATCTTTAAGTTAACTAATCTATATGGGTGAGTGGAGTATGCTAAACTTTGGAAGCATTTTGAATTGGACAAATGCTTATATTTCTAGTAAAGGAAAAGAGTTTTACCACTTAATGAAGGCTGAAGTGTTTTTATGTAATATGTTAGTATTTAAACAGCAAAGCATCATGTACATCACAAGTTACTGCCTTTAAATGGTGGGATTTGTGTCCTTCAATTTGATCATTAAAAAGAAATAAGTGAAAGTTAACTTAGGGTAGACTTGAGTTTTCAGGGGAGGGTTGGTTTTAGAGGAGAAGATTAGGTCATAGCCAGATGACTTCTCCCAGTTTTGTTTACCGTATTTTACATCAACATACCCTAAAATCCTCTACTTTGTTTGATTTTTCTTTTTCCTTTTTCTTTTTTTTCTTTTTTCTTCAGATTGTTCAGTTTGGTATGAATGAAAAAGTAGGGCAGATTTCCTTTGATCTCCCTCGTCAAGGAGACATGGTATTAGAGAAACCTTACAGTGAGGCAACTGCCAGATTGATAGATGAAGAAGTACGGTCGCTAATTAACATTGCTTACGATAGGACATTAAGTCTTCTGACTGAGAAGAAAGCAGAAGTGGAGAAGGTGAGCATTACAGTATTTTTAGCCACCAAGTTCCAGCTGGTAAGCGAGAATCTGAATTGAACTGAATAGATTAAAAATAGTGACTATGTAAGTATACGAGGAAGTTTGCTCAAAAACTATTTGATGTAGTCTTGAAAGTGTGTCACAAGACTTAAATAAGTAAATAGAAGTATCCTTTTGTGTTGGAACATCTCCCAGGTTCTCATGAACATGATTTAACATCTCTCTCCCCCTTATATGGTCAATACTAATTTGGAAAGTTGGAGGGAAGAGTCTATCTACTGAAGTAGGCTTTAGTAGATGTACTAGAGAAGTATGAAACTTAACCCAAACACAAAATACCAGGATTCCAATTCATTAGGCTAAAGAAGCTGTCTAAGAAGGGAAGTATGTATAACTTCCTTTCTCTGAATTCCTTTTGAACATGAAATAAAAAGCATCGTTTACCATCTTCCTTCCCTGCCCCCTTGCTGCTTGTGATCTGCCTCAGTGCAGCTGAGATTACCCACGTGCATATTCTCTTCCTCCATGCCAGAAAGCCTGGTACAGCAAAGGGATAATTTTCCAGTATAGGCACCTGATAGGCTTACTGACAAGAAGACAAGTTTGCATGGATTCAGTAAATGGTGGTATAGTAGGCCACCATCCCAAAACAGATCACTGCATGTGGTTTGTGCTGAACAATGTGCTCACTGACTCAAGAAGGTTACAAACTACAATTGTACAGTATTGTATGCATTGTAATTTTATGGTGCTCTTTAGTTTGTAACGTAACAGCAGCCCTGTTGAACCATCGGGTTTGGTAGGAAGGGAACACTTGTTTTCATCTATAGCTTAATGTCTTGCATCAGGAGCCTTTTGGCAGCAGCAAAAGACTGCTGTTCTGAAGCAACAGTAACAGCAACAGTGGCCCATAGGGAGGGCGCTTTGCCAAATCTTAACAGTAGGATTAAAAAAAGGTACTTTTCTCCCTTGTGAGCATTTGGGTAGCAAAAATCATGTGTTAAGTGAACTCTGGGCAACTTGGTTTTTCTATGAAAATTAATCAGTGATGAATTTGGTCCCAAACTGTCTTAGCAAACTCCTCCAAGGAAGAGAGCCAACTTGGGTATTTTGTGTGTGACATAACTTACTGCTATTCCAGGTTGCCCTGCGACTACTGGAGAAGGAAGTGCTTGATAAAAGCGATATGCTAGACTTGCTTGGCCCAAGACCATTTGCGGAAAAGTCTACTTACGAAGAATTTGTTGAAGGTACAGGAAGTTTGGATGAGGATACTTCACTACCAGAAGGCCTTAAAGACTGGAACAAAGAGCGTGAAAAAGAGAAAGAGGAGACAACAGATGAACAGGTTGCTAGGCAGATCAGAGGAGGGATGCCATTTTAACTGCAAAGTGTGTGGTGATGTTGACTTGCACTCTGGAAGAGAAACAAACTCGCCTAGTTTGTACTTAAAAACAAAAAAAATAATTTATTCAACCAAACTGTATTAGGGATGGGTGGAAGAGTGATCTCTTGTGATGAGATGAGGATATTCTGCTCCAGAGTTTACGTATGTGGTATCATCAGTTCACTGGTAAAAGATGATCATCTTTCATTTGTCAACTGAAGAAGCATACGTTGGATTTGAGCTGCAGTGGAATGCCGGAACTGAGCTTCTCAAACTTTGAAACAGTTCAGATTCATGCACAAACTTTGTGGCACCAGTCTCTCTCGCACTCACTTTTTTTTTTTAAAAAACCCAGTATGTAAGCCTTAAAAAAAAAAAAAAATTAGTGTTTTGATTATTCATCTAAAGTGTACCTGTATATGACCTGTTTCCAAAAAAAGAATCATACAAAATGCATCATTGAATGCTTAGCCAAAAGTCTGGTCTGACAAAGTACTAGCTTTGCAAAACTATCAGCTCTTTCATCTGACCCTTTTCCCCTCCACCTCTCACTTTGATTTTAAAAAGAGGTTGTTTAGAGAAGTGACATGCAAGTTGACAGTGAAACTGGACACCCACTTAATATATTAAAATGTACTCATGGTTCAGTGTCTTTTAAGTCTGAAACTCAGTTTGGCTCCTGCAGTTTTATTAGTCAGTTTTTTACAGAGTTCTGTAAGATATTGAACATATGAATGTGTTGTGTAAATACAGTTTGAGTCAATAAAATCATACTTTTCTGAACAAAGCTTGTCTTTTTTTTTTTTTTTGCTGGTTTCTTGGTATAGAATTTGGACCAATGCAAAACTTCCTCATAAGATTTTGTTATATTAGGGTATTGAGATTGTGCTCACAAATACCAAAACCAGCAGCCAAATCCAAAGGTTTGGATGAAACTTGGCTAAATCAGATTGTCAGTTTCATACTGGTTTGGTTAACTTAAAGGGTGGAGGTTTGTTTTGTTTTTTTTTTTTTTACCCCTCTGCTTAGTTGAATACAGTTGTCTTAGTATAGTCACCTGCTTCTGGTTGTCTGCTGCATGCTAAGGATTTATTAGCTGGAGAATTCAACTGTTCAAGAATTAACTGATGGTCTCCCTGTCACAGAAGAAGAGAGGGAAGCATGATTGCAGGGGTGGTTAGGTGGGAAGGAGAATGAACCAAGCTTCTCTGCTGGACAACAAATCCTTTAAGGCTTATGACTGAGAGAGCAGGTTAAGGGAATAACTAGCGATTGATTCCATCTGTATGTTGCAACATTCTGGAAAGCAGTAGGCTGACAAAGAAAAAAGTTGTCTCTGAAAGGTCAAATGCAAGCTCTTTGCTTGAGTTATTTGAAGTAAATTGGTTATGGAAATTATTTGGTTTATGGTTTTTTGGTTTGTTTTTTTTCCCTTCATGATGGAGCTGTTGGCATCTCTGATGTCACCTGGCTTTACAGTGAAGAGGAACAAGGGAAATGGAGCAAAGACAGCAATTTAGGGCATATTCTGTGTATCCCTATTGGATTTGTTGTTGTAGAATGAATGATAAACAGGAAAGCATCCTGAATAAAACTCAGCTTCAGTTCTTTTATTATTGGAGTTGAAGTTTAGAATAATTTATTGCAATAGTCAACTGGTTTTATAAAGCTTAAATCTTGCACACACCATAAAGTAGCAACTGATTTCTGTGCATATGCTCTAGTGCTGTACCTTATGTGTATCCCGTATTGTTGCCTCGTTTGTTCTATTTTTTTCCCTCCCATTTAGCTGAACACTTCTTGATTGGAATGGGCAATTTGTAGCCAGTGCTGAGGACTAAATGTGCTTATGTCATAAAGGTCAGAATTCTTCATTTCCTCATTCCTTATTTAAAAAAACACCACCACAAACCACAACCAACCACCCCCCCCAAAAAAATCCCCTAACCTAACTCTTCACAATAGCACCACCAGACTGTAAAAGAATCATGTCCTCCCCAGGAAATGTTTTCTCTTACTCCCTGCTTAGCTGTCTATTTTTAAATTTTGCTTGTGTTTAGTTGCAGCATGCAATTAATAAGCATATGGTAATGTAAAGGAGAGGCAAGTCCATTTGCCCCTATTTTAGAGTATTAACTTGCTTTGTGTAGTCCTAACCCAGTAAGTCATAATATTTTTGTGCTAAAAGTGGCAGAATTTGACTGTGTTGGGATTTTGGAATCAAAATAAAGATGGGGGTGGGTGGGTAAGCTGTTTATCCAACCTGCTGCTTTGAAGAGGACTGTTAGCCACCTCCTACTCATGAATTTAAGACTTCAGGTGTTTTAACGTAAATCAAGAAAATCAAGTTCAGTCTGTGCTGTGGCTGCCAATAAGGCCAGATTAATTTTTGTTGCAGACAGAGAGCAGCGCTGCTTGAACTAGTAGGGGCTTGTACAGCATGGAGGCAGCCACTGAGGTCCCTGCTCCTCCCACTGCTGGGAGAAGGAGCAGGTCTAGACCCTCTTTCACAGCCTGACCCTGTTCCCAGGAGATAGAAATGCAGGAGAAGAAATGGAGAGCTGTAATCTTGGGATGCAGAGAAATCAAGAACCTATGGTGGCTTGGTTAAGGTAGCCTGCTCAGGGACTGTCAAGTCTGCAACTGGTCTGCGTGATTCCTTCCTGGCTTTGACCAGAGCGACTTTGCAAAGGAGCTGGCCCATCAGGTTTAGATTCCAATTTCTGTCCTGATACCACACCTCCTTCCCATGGCACGCTTCGGCCACTCTCTGTTTTCAAGTGGTGTCCGTGGTGTAGGTTGTGGGGTTTTTTGTGTTCCCTGACCAGTGTTGGCAGAGGATTTTGTGTCTGGGCGGTACTGGGAGCTGCACCTCAAGGTCTTCTTAGGTCTGGCTTGTCCTGGCAGCCTGCTTCTATGTGTTTCTCTGTGGCCAGGTACAAAGCAGTAAAAAGGAGAGAAAAGGAAGGTGGGCTAGGCACAGAAAGAAAAGGGGCAAGAGACTAAATTGAAAAACTACGGGGAAAATGAAAACACACAGGTAAGGAATGTGAAAATAAGAGGAACAAAGCCAGGTGGGACTCAGCAGGTGGATTTCAAAATAGAAGAGATGATTCCAAGGAAAAAGCAGGAAGTTACTTGAAGTGCAACTGAAGGAACTGTTCACCAAACCTGTTGCTAAAACAATTTTCAGTTTTATGTCAGGAAAGGAAGATGATCAGAGTTGGTTGACTGAAGAGGAACAGGAAGCAGTTGTGTTCCCATGGCTTTCTTACTGCTTATGTGCAAGTTGGTGCTCTGATGATGTTCCTACTACAGGTTCCTGGTTCATTTCAGTGGGTTGGGTTTTTCCCCCTAAGATCAGATGGGAGATCTGTCTCCTTTTTTTTTTTTTCTAAAGAGGGCATTAGTTTGCCTCCCCCACCTCCACATATTCTAGAAATTCACATCAAGCACTTGCAAGTAAACACATGCAAAAGAATGGCTAAGCGTCAAAGCAGGATCAGAGGACATTGTTAGTTCTGGACTCCACAGGCTCAGAGTCTATATTTTCTGGATTTTAAGTCAGTGTATGAAAAGCAATGAAGAACAGGCTGGTTCACCAAGTGAATAACTCAATTATTCTTGGCATTTTTAAGGTATTAGCTTTTTTTTTCCTCACAAGAATATCAGAATTTATGGCTGGGACCTAGTTATGAAGTCTGTGTTACAACAAAATGCAGTTCCACAAGCTGTAAGATGGTTGGTTCTACTTCATTCAGATGACACTATGCTAGTGCTTTAATTGGAAAGTCTGTGCCACAGCTGTATGATGGCCAGCTCTGAGCCTGTAACATGTTCTCCTCCCTCTTGAAGCTAATAGCTTGCCATTTACAAAGCATCAACTAAACACCTACGTTTAATGGCTTTATTCCCCATGGCTCTTGCTTTGTATTGCACTAAATGCTAATTTCTCTTTAACACACGCTGCATTTTAGCTTAATCTCATGCCACGATAAATACGTAGCCACAACATATGGCAACATTTATAAAATGCATATTTAAAGATGCACTGCATACATTCTTTAGGCATCACTAGCCATTGCAAAGAATGTAGACCCTGTGAATTTGCTGACTCCATCCTGACCCCTGAAAAGCTTATCAGCCGGGCCCTCCCCATCTCTGCCTATCCACCTATGCCAAAGCCAGTTTGGTTAGTATGTGCCAACTGTCCCGTGAAGTCACTTTATATGAAAAACTTGTACTTGATTAAAACTAGTTTAGTTCCATTTCTGTGTAGAATAAATTTGGGCCGACAGCTTCAGGTTATGTGATTAACAGTTGCCTGGTTAATATACTTTATAAAATACTGTCTCATTCCCTGAATCCCAAACTAACAAAACATAACATCCCCTTGTTAGGAGCAATGGACCTTTGGAAATTACACTATGTTTGTAAAGTGCCTTTTTAAGTATTGAGCAACACTTTTGCTTAGAAAGTGCTTCTGAAGGCAAGAAGAAAAAGAGCAAAGAGTTCCTGAAACATTTTAACTTTGGATTTCCTGACAGTTTCTCCTTTGTTTGTTTGTTTTGTTGCCTAGAGACCGACCTAAATAAAAGACTCCATGTAGACACAGTGTTCTCTGGTAGAGGCTGTCTAATGGAGAAGGGCTGTTTAATTCATATGAGCAGAAACATAAAGCATGCACAAAGAGCGGATGCCCAACAGTCACTTTGTCAAGGCAGCAAGTCAGCGGGGTAAGACAAAGACCTTTCTGTTTCAGCTTTAGTGTAAGCAGATAGTGTTGTTCATCTTCCATTTTGCCAGCTGTTTTGAATATTGTGGATAAATTATTTTATTTGTACTTTAACCTTAATCTGTCCAGTGATTTTAACCTATCTTGGTAATAACACATCCATAGCATTTATAGGTGTGGTGAACTTAGAAACCTAGGTAGCAAGATATATCGACACACAGCCTATGTCCCCTCTCCCACCATGTTCTGTGGAATACCTGAATTTCAGCTATATGGGCTACATGGAATGGAGATAGGAGTAGCACCAGTAACTGGTGATAGCCAGAAAAACAGGGGCCAGCAAAATATTGGGGTGCGACTTTAAACCCCAAGGGTCCTTACAGAACACATCACAAATGGCTAGATTTCATATGTATAATCTGTGATTATTCAGCAGCAAATGGTGAAGTCACATAGCATAAATCCAGCCTCTGGTCTGCAGCTCACTGGATATTTGTATAGCATTGACTGCCCAAAACACTTTTGC